TATATCATTTGCTGTGGAATACATCTGAGACAGTCAGCTAAAGACTTGACTTAGTTGTCCATTTAGAAAAAGCATAAAAAGCCTAAATATGACTACAAAAGGCTGTGAACACAAGTGTCCTTGTCAACACGAGGTACGGCACAGGCAAAACACTTCCAGGTTCTCAGGTGGATGCTTACAAATGAAACAAAAAAACAAACTCTTTTCTTTTTGCTACTGCATTTTAGGACCAGAAACCTTTTTTATTCTATTCAATTTGTAGATTAAGGTTTAGTTTTCAAACAGCGTGTTGCTCAAACTCCAGTGCAGTGTTTCATTGTATGTTCCCAGCATGGAGAGGAGGTTTCTCCAGCAGCCAGTGACCTGGCCATGGTGCTTACCAGGGGACTCAGCATGGAGCAGCAGAAGAGCAACAGAGACTCCCTGCAGTACTCCAGTGGATATAGCACAGAGACCACAACCCCATCCTGCTCAGAGGACACAATTCCTTCACAAGGTGAAACTCTAATCTACCACACTCTTTACGGCAGCATTTAATCTCATTCGGTGCCCACATATATTACATTTCACCTGGCCACATTCATCATCTTATTTTTGTAACATTCCAGGAAAAGCAACCTGTTAAGGGAAGGTGTTTTTTTTTAGGGGAAATATCAATATTTAAAACTTCTGCAGAAGTTTTACTTTATTGTATTCCTCCCACTAGCACTCCTGCCATTGAGTGTAGTTTTACCAAAATCAGATTAAGTGAATCCATTTAATCATCCAGGCAGCAGCTAAAGTGTATGATGGATGTATTCTGACAGTTTCTCTGACAGCAGTTGGAAAATGACAATATAAAGATAAAATTGAAAAATATTAAATGTGCTCACTTGCTGGCTTGCTCTACCAAAATGATGTAGCTATCCCTGTTAATCTAATAAAGCGACCACAGAACATTGTCTTTCTTCTCTTTCTGTTTCTGGCACATCTAGTTCAATCATTTCTCTAAAATCTCATAAATACCTTTCTTTGTTTTACTCTCTGCTCTCCTCATATTAGGTTCAGATTATGACTGCTACTCAGTGAATGGTGATGCCGAAGGTCCAGATGGACAGACAGAGTTTGACAAGTCCTCCACAATTCCTCGCCACTCTAATATTGCCCAGAACTACAGGCGAATGATCCAGACCAAGAGGCCAGCCAGCACAGCTGGCCTGCCCACTGGCGTTCTTGGTCCAGGGGCTCATGGGATACCAGGGCAGCCCGGTGGAGCTGGCGGAGGTGGAACAGGGACTCCAGGGACTGCCACCATCCGCCGAACCCCGTCTACCAAACCTGGCGTGAGGCGCACGTTATCCAGTGCGGGGCCCATCCCCATTCGACCACCCATCGTGCCTGTCAAAACACCCACTGTCCCTGGAGACTCGCATTCACCTGGTGCAGGTGGAGGGCACGCTGGTGGCGTACCTGTCCGTGTGGGGAGTGAGGAATGTGTGTTCTTCACTGGAGCTGAGGATTCACAGGGAGCGCTTGATTATGTGAAGGCATCACCAAAGCGCCTCAGCCTGCCTAACACCGCCTGGGGATCAGGGGCTGCGTTAGAGGTCTATGCTCAGCAGCATGGGGGCCTTGCAATAGGAACAGGCTCGGGCACTGGATCAGAGGAAGATCAGATGATCGCAGCCAATCGGCACAGCCTAGTGGAGAAGATTGGCGAGCTGGTAGCTAGTGCGCACGCCCTTGGTGAGGGCCAGTTTCCCTTCCCTGCCCTCCCTGATGACCCAGCCCCGCCACCAACTGGCCCCACTGACACTGAGACAGGGACCGAAGGGGCAGAAGGGTCTGGTGACATGCTGACCACCATCAGGAGAGGAGTCCGTCTTCGCAAAACCGTCTCCAATGACCGCTCAGCTCCCCGTATATTGTGATCGGAGGAACAGCAGAAAGAGGATGATGCTTGTCAACCGAGAGGGAGTCAGGTGTTGGTTTGATGCAACCCAACCACCTAGTACATACACAAAAACTTAACCATGTAGGGAAAGCTATAATATAACAGAAGACGAATGAAAACAGAAGCATACACAGAAAAAAAGTTTAAAGACACCATTAGAGTAATGATATATAATATAATGATAATAATAACAATAATAATGTTAACCCATGCTGACAGTTAAAAGTTAAATGCTGAACATTGACAGGCTCCTAGCAGGCCACTATAACTAGTGTGTGTTGGACGCATGTTTGTCTTCTATACACCTTCACCCAGGGAAGGAAAGACTCACAGGACAAAAAAAAAAAAACAGATATGATTTTTTAAAAAAGAGGCAAAGAAAGAGAGAAACGCTGGGTTCTGTTCTGTTTTGCCAACTTACACCTTTCCCTATCCTCTTCTCCAACTAACCCGACTGTCTGATCCCAGATGAAAGACTGACTGAACGAGGGGCTGGTGTGGACGAGAGAGAGAGGGGACTCGGAGTGCCATGTGAGCAGCTGGATTTGAACCCAAGCTGTCTCAGCAGCAACACACTGTACTTATTAGCCCATTGAACTGAAGCTTTGGTATTAGTACGGGGAGCTAACAAGCCAGAGGGCCTCTCTGGTTCATCCTAATGAAAAGAATCTTGGAAAAAAGGAAATATCCACTGTTGGCATTGAACCGTGCTAGTGCCCCCTTCCCCCCCTCTCTCGCTCTCTGCGCAGTGAATGCGTGCATTCATGGGCGTGCATGTGGGCAAATGTAAAACGTGAGCGTGTGTCTACGTGTGACTAATTGTGTGTATGTGCGCGAGGAGGGTGGGTAGAGCTCTGCTGCAGGACAGCTGGTTACCCAATGAGGGCAGGGCTTTTTTCTCCTGTGTGTTGTGCGTGTATTTTCTTGTTTATATTGTGACGTCATTTACCTTGTTACCGCTGTACGAGAAGTTACAAGACGTACTCCAGGCGTATAGATATATTCATATATATTTTCTAGAACCAGAGAGAAAATGTTAAATCAGAAATGGAGCAATAAATGTGTTTTATTTTCTTGTTTCGAAGAAGCGGCTCGATGGAGGATTGTAGATTCTCCTTTGTCACATTCAGGCAATCATCAGGAATGCTAAATTACACATCGACTGTGAATTCATGCCTAGCCGGTTTTGGCGTGTGTCTCTCTCTGTCCCTGTCTCTTTCTGGTGAATGAAATGGATTACAAAAGTCTGGGGGAGGGAAGGAAAACTGTAAGCACTTTGATAGGGGATTGGTAATATGTACAATAGCCAGTAGGTGTTGTTGTAGTCATACTGTATGATAGGGAGTGTGAAAGTGAGCGAGGTGGTATCCAGGGGGGAATTATTTAATTTGTGAAAGAAGAAGCAGAAGAAGACAGGGAGGGACAAAGAGCAAGTGAGGAAGACTGGTTGATTTGGGAGATTGGTCGAATGAGATGGGATAAGAAAGTGTCAGGGCCATACGAGCTGTTGCTTGTTGTGGATCGTGAAGAGCACTGAAGTTTTTAATGCTGTGGCCGCACTGGCATTTAAAGGACTGGTCACATAATGAAAAAAAAAAGCACAGTATAGACAGGTCAGACTGTATAAAGCAGATCCATACGTTCCTGCCAGTTTTATTTTTCTGTCGCTGAGACTTCTGCCTCATAGCATCAGAGGGGAACGTAGGTTTGATTGAGTTTCTACTGTGGACACAGACCTTTAAAAACACCTAATAAAAACAGCTTTTCAGAATAAAACTTTTTCCACTGTGAGTGGAACAGTTGGAAGTCGGTTTTCCTGTATTATGTTATTGTAGAGAGGCGAAAATGTCACAAATTGGGCCAATAAACACACCTGTGGTCGAGAACAAAATCTAACACTTTTACTTGGATATTTGCCTCTTAATACTTAACCAGTATCCAAAAATCGGGCTGTATTTTTCACTGTCCAAATCTTCAATGACAGCTGCTTATCTAAAAAAAAATATAGTCTCACCTGTAAATATTGTGTCTTTTTTTTACATTGTGGCCACACAAAGTAAAGCCTTGAACAAAGCTGAACAATACTCTTTTGCCTTAGATTTACTCTGTATGTTGTCCTTTCTAAATAAAACAAAGATTTTAATCCAACATCATAGCACACATAGCACAGATGTGATAAAACACTCGGAGACACGTCCAGCTTGTAGCTGACAATTTTTGACATTAGTTCTTAGTTCTTTATTTTGGTAGAGAGTGAGGAATTATTGTTTGAAACTAAACAATAGCATTAAAATTGCTATTCAACAATTTGGAGGTCTACATGTTTATAGTCTTGACAGATCAAGAGACTTGAGATCGTTTTCAACTCTTCAAATAAGAGACAGGATGAGTTTGCCTAGTGCAGGGGGAGTACATTTGTCAAAGTGGTTATTATGCGTCAAAGTTTTCTTAGCTGCCCGCAAGTTCCTGAAAGTATTGCTGTTGCCCAAGTCTTCGATTGAAAGTTGGACTTCTGCACAGGGTGTAAGGTGAGACTGCCTTTGAAGCTATTGAAAGCCACCATTCTCAAATCTAGTACAAGTACTGGAGGACTGTAACAAGTAATGTAATCTAACCGAAATTTTTCAGATTCTTTGGCCAGCTGGTTTTGAATTAGCTCAATCACACGCAACGTAATTATTTAGCCCCACATTTATTCAGTCGCATAAAATGAATGTATTCCCAGCAGCGAGACACAACGCTGGTGTCTAAACACAAAGAGGCCGCCCCAGTTCAGCTCAGGATATGGCTGCGCGAAAGAAACTTTTGTGAACATTAAGATGCAAGGAATGGTGAAGCCGGCTCGCTGATGACAAAGACGTGGGAATATTTAACTTTGCAAGTTGACAGAGAGGAAAAGATGTGTGAAATGAGCATTTCACTGCCTGTTCATACAATATGTACTGTATGTGCTGTACTTGTTAAAGAGAATCAGGCGCACAGATTTGGTATAAAGGTTTGTTAGAAAATATTACATGGAATATTTAGTTGTTTTTTTTTTCTTCTACAGTACTGTTTGAATGTTTTGTCTTAACTTTAATTAATGTAAAAAAAAAAAGAAAAAAAGAAAAAACTCCAGTTGTAACACAAACTACTAAGCTGTGTAACATACGGATGCAGGACGTGTGGGCCGAGAGTGAGTGTGTCCTCGTTTGGCTGTTGATCTTTAGGCTAGTGAACTCTTCATCAACATGTCTGTATGCTCTTTTAGCAGTGACCTGAACATAGCCTGCGACATCCACTCTCCTATATACTCTTTTTGTCAACTTATTTTATTTATTTTCTTTTGCCTCGAATAGAAAATTGTTCCAGGCACATTTGTGGCTTCTTTAGAATGATTTAATATAAAGAGTTGGAGAACAGATGTTTTTAACATAGGCACCTTCTGCAAAAACACCATTTTTTTTTGTTGAAGTTTGCAACAGTGCATCAAATAGGGGATGTTTTAATGTTCTGTCAACAGGAAACTGTGCATTTGTTGTTACATGTGGATGCTGTGTGATGAATCTGACTCTGAATCTTAGAAGTTGAAAGGGGGAAAAAAACATGCTTTGAGTGAGAAAAGTGAAAAAGAGTTTGTCCTAAACCACCTGTCAAGGTCACCGTGTCCATGAATCTGTATACCTGAATGTATGACATGGTGAAGGATGGCATCCAACTGTGTCCGATTTGCTTAAACTATTGCAATGTCAGAACATTGTTCCTGTACAACTGGGTGATATTTCCTCTTTAAACAACAGGAAAGCAATACAGGGGTAGTGCATGTATGTGCATTCACAATCATGATCCACTGTGGGTATGATAAAGGAGAATACCATTGTTTTGTAGACTAGTTATTCCACACCACACAGCTCTAATGGTGTTATTTGGAGTTCAGATATCTTTAAAGAGACAGAATAAATAATACACACTGGAGAAGAAAATGGTGTATCATCCTCACTGACTTTGAAAATTTACCTTGCCTAAAAGCTGCTGTGAGGTGTCCAAACGGTTTAATAAGCTGCCAAACCAAAACACTGAGCCATTCAAATGGTAAAACTGGGTGTTAGTGTTGGGTAGTGTGTTTAATTTTTCAGGTGGTTACGATGAGTCCAACAACTGGGTACTGTAGATATATTTGCAGAATTTTGCAGCAGAACCCCTATCGCCTAACTCCAAAATGGACATGGGAACCAAGACTTCCATATTAAGATTTATTTATAGTCAGTATATTTGTCTAATCACCCAACCCTGCTAAATAAAAGTAATAAAATGTGAGGCGTTAGGAAGAATGTGAGAACTCTGGGATCCTGAAACTCAGTATGCAGCATGAAGTTACTGTAGGCGTTAACCTAATAAAGCTATGCAAGGCTTGGTCACTCAGTAGGAAAATGTACAATTTCATTAGTATTATTAATTCAGCTATCTCAAGGCACTTTATATTACATGCTATATATAATGTAAAGATTCTATTATAGGAAAAAAAACCCTAGCAATCCAAAGATCCCTGACGAGGAGGCACTTGGCAGCAGTAGGACATTTAAAAACTCCCTTTTAAAAGAAGAAAACTCCAACAGAATCAGGCTTCTTTTATTTAGTGTTTGACAAGATACTACTTACCGTAATGTTCTAAAAGTTTCCCAGAGTTGTGAGAAGGCTAGCCAAGATTCAAGAAGGTTTATTCTGTAATTCCATGTTTTTACATGGTATTTACAGACATACACAGACTGAAACAAAAATGTTGTTGTGTTGTGCAATAATCAGCAAACAATAAAAATACAGTGTAACAACCAAGCTGCAGCTTGATGCGACACTCAGCAAACTCAGGCATAAACAATCACACTCATCCAGCTAGCAGCAGTCCTCTCACGGAGAGGGATTGAATAAGATCAGCTAAGTGTGTGTAAAGTCCCAGATTAATAGAAAACTTTGCCACTGAAAAAGATTCTAGTCTAGCACCAAACTTAATCACTTTGTGAGAAACGGAGCCCTAGAGCCATGAAATAGTCTAAAGTCCTGCAAAAGTTGCATGTTGAGGCTATGATTGTTTTCTTCTCCAGTGGGTGTGGTTTTCTGAGTATGAGAAGCTGACTTCAGTCTTCATAGCTACACATGTCTCCCTGAGTCTGAAGCTTTAAGTGCTGCATATTTATTGAATGAAATGCAAACTAAGGAATAAACTGCCAGTTATCTACAGGAAGTTATTCCTTTAATAAAGTTTTAATAATGCCCTGGAGAACAAGCACTCAAATTATAAATAACAACTTGGGAAGTATTCTAAAACCTCTGAGTTTTTCAAATCGAATGAGATCACAGCAGCCTGAAGGCACACAGTAAAAGGTTGAATGGTTAAGATGACTAAAGGACACAACACTGCTATTTTCCTTTAAAATACCCAGTTTACAGCACAAGAAATATCGTACTAAATAATAATGTTTTTAAAATTCTAAATTAACTGTGTAACTAACTGAACAAGCTGGAATTACTGTGCTACAGTTTACGAGTGTATGTGTTGTTCAGTGTGGGCCCGCCTTCAAACGGAGTGGCTGCTGCAGAAACATACAAAGGCACATAGACATACATGCATGCAGGCGTGCGTGCATAGATGGAAACACTTGTGGACATATTAGAAACAGGACTAACATATAGAACAATCTCCTCTTCTGTTAATTTCATAATTTGGCTCAGTCAATGATATTACCACAGTTGACTTTCCATTTTATATCAGCTTTCTTGTTTTCTATCAAGGTTAATGTGCGAGCTCACTTAAAAACATGCACAGTACTTAAAAGACTGCACAACAAGCCCTAAAAACTAGAAAGCTATATTAAACTTTTCAATGATTAGCACGAGGCTGCATAGAGTATGTGAAAGGACTAGTTTAACATTTTGGAAAATACTTACTTTCACTTTTGGTGAGTGTGTGCATTAAAGAATAATTCATAGCCAACAGATGGTAATTTTAGCATGGCGAGGTTTGGAAGCTGTAGGAAACCCAACCGCTCCAAACTGAAACATTCCACCTACCTTTATACCTGTTGTTTACCTAGTAATACACTTTTGTGTTTAATCTGAAAATGTAAATTATACAAAGTAAGAGGTTAACTGGCAAGTGTTGTTCCCACAGTGAATGGCTCACACTGACAAGAGAATAAAGAAATAAGCTCATAAATTTTCCAAAATGTTAAGCAGTTTCTTTAACTTTTAATGAAAACATGATTTTTTTTTTTTGGATTATGTAACTGGAGATGGACTGAGCTGAAAATTCCTAATACCATAATTGTCTGAACAGCCTGGAGGTATAAGAAAGCTACCAGTTAGCCATGCTAATCGTATTTCGCCAAGTGGAAAAAGCAAAAGAGAACTGAATTTAAATGTTCCTCTATTCCCAGACATTTAAACTTGTGTATCCCCGTCTTCTCTCACTTTCCCCTATTGCCATTTAACTTTAATCCACTTTCCTCAATCAGTACACACAGGGATAATGTGTGGCTGACAAATCAGAAAACAACACTTGTCAAGATGGGAGCCCCATTAGCATTACTCTGTCTCTCTGTGCCTCGCAGCCCATCAAAGCTAATGAAAAATAATTTTGATGAAGTCTTTATTTTCACCGTAGTCCACAGTGAATACACACTACGCTCAGTTTATTATCTCTCTGTCTTTCCCTTCACCCTCTTCCCTCCCCCCTCCTTCTGTGTCTGATTATTGTATGTCAGGATGCATGTGTGGATCCAGTGTGTCATAATGGCTAATGGATGCTATCATTTTGGGACCTGGGTGTTTTGTTCAAAATGCTGGAATCATTAGGTAGGTTAAACTTTTCCCTAGCGTGCACATTAATATCTGCTGGTCTCAAGGCAAGCAGATGGATCTCTAACACTGTCTCAGTGCTAGATTACATACTGTGAGCATTTGCTCGCAGCATGAAAACAATGTTAGAAATCTGTATGGAAATAACTTCCCTTTAAATGTTGTATACTTACATAATATGCTACATAAGATTTAAAAATGTCTTCATTTGAAACACCCCAGTCAAAATGAACATAATGTTCTTGATTGCTGACTTGATCGAAGTAAGGAAACCACAATGCTGGCCATTGAAGAACAGATTGTTTTATATTTTTGATCAGACAAAAAAAAGTTTTGAGTCGCTCTATATACAACCCACTCGTTTAGCCATCTGCCCAAGTTATATTGAACTATGTACTTGTGTATGTGTGTCTGTATGAGTGTGATTATGTGTGTTGTACAAGGAGAGATGGTTAAAACCCCTACTGTTCCTCCCTTCAACCTCCCACACACAATCTGTCAGTCTTTCCTGCTGTCTAATACGGAAGGTATCCACATTACTACACACACGCACATATACACACTGGTCTGAAGCAAACATGACTAAGGTTGATTCTCAGAAGCCACATGAGGGTACCTTGAAGTCCTCTATGAGATCCTGATGTAACACATTGCAACCTCTTGTCATACAGCCATGCAGAACAGAGTGGCCGAAGTGGCCTCCCGGTGCCACTGTCACTGCAACTAAATTGAATGTCTTGGTGTCTATACTCCAGTTCCAGTAGTGTCTCTTGCTCGCTTGCTCTCTTTCTCGACAGCCGACATCTGAACTCTCAATGAAATCTCTACAAAATTCACAGCTGAGGCATTTTCTGAGGGGCTTTTTTTTT